CATTTTAAACAACATCATGGTAGCAGTGGGCTAGTACTGTAAAATAGGTGTTAGTCCGGACTAGTCTCTCTCTCTCTCTCTCTCTCTCTCTCTCTCTCTCTCTCTCTCTCTCTCTCTCTCTCTCTCTCTCTCTGACATTTTCACCATTCGCGGCTCGCTGATCTTTCAAATAAACCCGTCAACAATGTATTATCATCGCTATTAATGATAACCCAGGCCACATTTGTGGAGCAGTCAATTTGTGAAAAATGTGGCTTCCAGATATGTGTCTCTCTCTGTCTCTCTGTCTCTCTGTCTCTCTCACTCTCTCTGTCTCTCTCACTCTCTCTGTCTCTCTGTCTCTCTCTCTCTCTCTCTCTGTCACACTCTCACTCTCTATCTCTCTCTGTCTCTCTGTCTCTCTCTCTGTGTCTGTCACACTCTCACTCTCTATCTCTCTCTGTCTCTCTCTGTGTCTCTCTCTCACTCTCTCACTCTCTCTGTCTCTCTCTGTCTGTCACACTCCCACTCTCTATCTCTCTCTGTGTCTCTCGCTCACTCTCTCACTCTCTCTGTCTCTCTCTGTCTGTCACACTCCCACTCTCTATCTCTCTCTGTCTCTCTCACTCTCTCTGTCTCTCTCTCACTCTCTCTGTCTCTCTCACTCTCTCTGTCTCCCTCTGTCTGTCACACTCCCACTCTCTATCTCTCTCTGTGTCACTCTCTCACTCTCTCACTCTCTCTGTCTCTCTCACTCTCTCTGTCTCCCTCTGTCTGTCACACTCCCACTCTCTATCTCTCTCTGTCTCTCTCACTCTCTCTGTCTCCCTCTGTCTGTCACACTCCCACTCTCTATCTCTCTCTGTGTCTCTCTCTCACCTCTCTCGATCTGTCTATCTCACACCCTCTCCTCAATATCACTGTCTCTCTTTCCGTAATGGCAGTTACCTCCCAGGCCTAATAAGGATATAGACATACTGTTTTCAATGTAGAGCTAGGTTACCTGTAGATATTTCCGCGCTAAATTGAATTTGGAACCGAACGCCCAGCTAGCTCACTCACTCACGCACTCACTGTCATCAGTCAATCGACTAGGGCTGTACGGCGTCTGATCAAGTATGTATCAGTAAAGGGCTACTCTCACTCTCTCTGTCTCTCTCTCTGTCTGTCACACTCCCACTCTCTATCTCTCTCTGTGTCTCTCGCTAACTCTCTCACTCTCTCTGTCTCTCTCACTCTCTCTGTCTCTCTCTGTCTGTCACACTCCCACTCTCTATCTGTGTCTGTCTCTCTCACTCTCTCTGTCTCTCTCTGTCTGTCACACTCCCACTCTCTATCTCTCTCTGTGTCCCTCGCTCACTCTCTCACTCTCTCTGTCTCTCTCACTTTCTCTGTCTCTCTGTGTCTGTCACACTCCCACTCTCTATCTCTCTCTGTCTCTCTCACTCTCTCTGTCTCTCTCTGTCTGTCACACTCCCACTCTCTATCTCTCTCTGTGTCTCTCGCTCACTCTCTCACTCTCACTCTCTCTGTCTCTCTCTGTCTGTCACACTCCCACTCTCTATCTCTCTCTGTCTCTCTCACTCTCTCTGTCTCTCTCTCACTCTCTCTGTCTCTCTCACTCTCTCTGTCTCCCTCTGTCTGTCACACTCCCACTCTCTATCTCTCTCTGTGTCACTCTCTCACTCTCTCACTCTCTCTGTCTCTCTCACTCTCTCTGTCTCCCTCTGTCTGTCACACTCCCACTCTCTATCTCTCTCTGTCTCTCTCACTCTCTCTGTCTCTCTCTGTCTGTCACACTCCCACTCTCTATCTCTCTCTGTGTCTCTCTCTCACCTCTCTCGATCTGTCTATCTCACACCCTCTCCTCAATATCACTGTCTCTCTTTCCGTAATGGCAGTTACCTCCCAGGCCTAATAAGGATATAGACATACTGTTTTCAATGTAGAGCTAGGTTACCTGTAGATATTTCCGCGCTAAATTGAATTTGGAACCGAACGCCCAGCTAGCTCACTCACTCACTCACTCACTGTCATCAGTCAATCGACTAGGGCTGTACGGCGTCTGATCAAGTATGTATCAGTAAAGGGCTACTCTCACTCTCTCTGTCTCTCTCTGTCTGTCACACTCCCACTCTCTATCTCTCTCTGTGTCTCTCGCTAACTCTCTCACTCTCTCTGTCTCTCTCACTCTCTCTGTCTCTCTCTGTCTGTCACACTCCCACTCTCTATCTGTGTCTGTCTCTCTCACTCTCTCTGTCTCTCTCTGTCTGTCACACTCCCACTCTCTATCTCTCTCTGTGTCCCTCGCTCACTCTCTCACTCTCTCTGTCTCTCTCACTTTCTCTGTCTCTCTGTGTCTGTCACACTCCCACTCTCTATCTCTCTCTGTCTCTCTCACTCTCTCTGTCTCTCTCTGTCTGTCACACTCCCACTCTCTATCTCTCTCTGTGTCTCTCGCTCACTCTCTCACTCTCACTCTCTCTGTCTCTCTCTGTCTGTCACACTCCCACTCTCTATCTCTCTCTGTCTCTCTCACTCTCTCTGTCTCTCTCTCACTCTCTCTGTCTCTCTCACTCTCTCTGTCTCCCTCTGTCTGTCACACTCCCACTCTCTATCTCTCTCTGTGTCACTCTCTCACTCTCTCACTCTCTCTGTCTCTCTCACTCTCTGTCTCCCTCTGTCTGTCACACTCCCACTCTCTATCTCTCTCTGTCTCTCTCACTCTCTCTGTCTCTCTCTGTCTGTCACACTCCCACTCTCTATCTCTCTCTGTGTCTCTCTCTCACCTCTCTCGATCTGTCTATCTCACAACCTCTCCTCAATATCACTGTCTTTCCGTAATGGCAGTTACCTCCCAGGCCTAATAAGGATATAGACATACTGTTTTCAATGTAGAGCTAGGTTACCTGTAGATATTTCCGCGCTCAATTGAATTTGGAACCGAACGCGCAGCTAGCTCATTCACTCACGCACTCACTGTCATCAGTCAATCGACTAGGGCTGTACGGCGTCTGATCAAGTATGTATCAGTAAAGGGCTACCTAATCGATTAACGTAGTAAGCCTCTGCAGGGGAGATGTTTTATTCAATACACAGCATCATAGTTTTGCAGATTAGCACATCGTCGGCTGTCTATTGTCGAGAGTGTTACAGTTGACGCATGCGCTACCCGCTATTGAGGCCCAGGATAGGTGGGTCTATTGTAGAGTGTTACAGCTGAAGCATGCACTACCCGCTATTGAGGCCCAGGATAGGTGGGTCTATTGTAGAGCGTTACAGCTGAAGCATGCACTACCCGCTATTGAGGCCCAGGATAGGTGGGTCTATTGTAGAGTGTTACAGCTGAAGCATGCGCTATCCACTATTGAAACGGTGTTTTACCGCTCTGCGCTGCAGTACTGACACAATGTTTTACAACACACACAGTGTTTTACTACACTTAGGTCAGTATTGACACAATGTGAAACGGTGTTTTACCGCTCTGTTCGTCAATATTGATACAATGTTTTACAACACAACCATTGTTTTACTATTCTCATATTAGTATTGAAACAATGTAAAATGGAGTTTTACCACTCTGCGTGGCAGTATTGATACAGTGATTTACAACACAAAGAGTGTTTTACTACTCTCATGTCAGTATTGAAACGGTGTTTTACCACTCAGCGTGGCAGTATTGATCCAGTGTTTTAGATAAAAAAAAAGTTTTATATTTCACGCATGTCAGTATTGAAACGGTGTTTTACCACTCTGCGTGGCAGTATTGATACAGTGTTTTAGATAATAAACAGTGTTATATTTCACGCATGTCAGTATTGAAACGGTGTTCTACCACTCTGCACGGAAGTATTGATACAGTTTTTTTACAACGCGATAGCCAATGTTATGTGTCCCACGTGAACGACTTTCCATATCATGTATCGTGCCGTGCTGACATCAATCTAGACGGCTTGCTGTCATCTAATACTGTAATGTAGTGCTTATCTGATGCTTGCATGTGGGGTAGGCACACGGAGAATGTCAGATTGTATCACATGTCACATGTCACACGCAGTCGTGCAGTCATGGAAATTCAAACTGCAAATGGTCGTCAGCCCAAGCATTATCACCATCATCACCTGCGTGATCATCATCATCTACATCAGCATTATCATCATCATCATCACCACCACCATCATCATCAGCAGCAGCAGCACCATCATCATCAGCAGCAGAAGCAGCAGCAGCAGCAGCACCATCATCATCATCACCACCATTATCATCACCACAATCACCATCAATTATCATCATCATCATCATCATCATCATCATCATCATCATCATCATCATCATCATCATCACCATCATCATCATCATCATCATCACATCATCATCACCATCATCATCATCATCATCATCACATCATCATCATCATCATCATCACATCATCATCATCATCATCATCATCATCATCATCATTATCATCATCACATCATCATCATCATCACCATCATCATCATCATCATCATCATCATCATCACCATCATCATCATCATTATCACCCTCATCATCACCATCATCATCACCCTCATCATCACCAACATCATCAGCACCGTCAGCACCAGAACCAGCATGGACCAAGATCATGTAGCCACGCCTTTCACATATGATTCAACTTGATTCGAACGACAATAAAAGGTTCACACGGACAGCCGAGGTAATACATCACAATATACATCCCATGACAGGATAAAAATCCCTCGTGCTACAGAGGCAGACCAATCAATGACACTTACATCCAAGTCATGCCGTTTACTCAAAGACCTTTGGGAAAATGCATTCACTGGGAAGTCTCGGTGATCAATGTTAGAAAAGAACATTATATAAATATTCAAACCACAATGCAAATTTATGGGTAAATAATAATCAGCAACTGGAGTTGGCACACCGTGTTTCATCAATCCCAGAGTTACAATATCCTGATATATACAAGTTATATTATATCAGTTACACCAGAACACATTCCAACAATTGGCAGCATGAATCATTCATATTCCACGTCCGTGCACCAGTGCGGACATTCTCAATATGCCGGCAACAGAGGCGCTGCTCGACTGGCAGCTCAGGCCGACATTGCTTCTTGGAGAGATGCTGCATCCCTGGTGCAGGATCTGACGCAGCACCTGATGGCGACTCGGGTAGTGTATAACCCGGCCCTTCCTCATCCATCTCTCACAAAGCATGTCATATCAACTGCTAGCCACATATATCTTTTTTCTGTATGACTAGATTATATACCACCATCCACCCCATGTAACATCATCCACTCTCATGTTTTGGTTTGTTGTTTAGCGCCGCACTCAGCAATATTCCAGTTGTATGACGGCGGTCTGTAAATAATCGAGTCCGGACTAGACAATCCAGTGATTACTATCATGTGCATCGATTGGGATCGATGACATGCATCAACCAAGTCAGCGAGCCTGACCACCCGATCCCGTTAGTCGCCTTTTACGACAAGCATAGTCGCCTTGTACGGCAAGCATGGGTTGCTGAAGACCTATTCTACCCCGGATCTTCACGGGTCCATCCTCATGTACCACAATTCATATTAATGTACCACAATCCACATTAATGTATTGCAATACTACCACCCATCTTTATAGCGCGTTACCCAATTTTATACCACAATCCACCCTCATGTACCACCATCAACCCTCATGTACCACCATCCACCCTCATGTACAACCATCCATCCTCATGTACCACCATCCACCCCCATGTACAACCATCCATCCTCATGTGTCACAATCCACCCTCATGTACCACCATCCACCCTCATGTACCGCCATCCACCCTCATGTACCACCATCCTCCCTCATGTACCACTATCCACCCTCATGTACAACCATCCATCCTCATGTACCACCATCCACCCCCATGTACCACTATCCACCCTCATGTACCACTATCCACCCTCACGTACCACAATCCACCCTCATGTACCACCATCCACCCTCATATACCACCATCCACCCTCATGTACCACTATCCACCCTCACGTACCACTATCAACCCTCATGTACAACTATCCACCCTCATGTACCACTATCCACCCTAAAGGAGAACTATCCACCCTCATGTACCACTATCCACCCTCATGTACCACTATCTACCCTCATGTACCACTATCCACCCTCATGTACCACTATCCACCCTCATGTACCACTATCCACCCTCATGTACCACTATCCACCCTCACGTACCACTATCCACCCTCACGTACCACTATCCACCCTCATGTACCACTATCCACCCTCACGTACCACTATCCACCCTCATGTACCACCATCCACCCTCATATACCACCATCCACCCTCATGTACCACCATCCACTCTCACGTACCACTATCCACCCTCATGTACCACTATCCACCCTCACGTACCACTATCCACCCTCATGTACCACATCCACCCTCATATACCACCATCCACCCTCATGTACCACCATCCACTCTCTCGTACCACTATCCACCCTCATGTACCACTATCCATCCTCACGTACCACTATCCACCCTCACGTACCACTATCCACCCTCATGTACCACCATCCACCCTCATATACCACCATCCACCCTCATGTACCACCATCCACTCTCACGTAAAACTATCCACTCTCATGTACCACTATCCACCCTCACGTACCACTATCCACCCTCATGTACCACCATCCACCCTCATATACCACCATCCACCCTCATGTACCACCATCCACCCTCATGTACCGCCATCCACCCTCATGTACCACCATCCTCCCTCATGTACCACCATCCACCCTTATGTACCACCATCCACCCTCATGTACCACCATCCATCCTCATGTGTCACAATTCACCCTCATGTACCACCATCCACCCTCATGTACCACAGTCTACATTAATGTATCGCAATACTACCATTAATCTTTATAGCGGTTACCCAATGTTATACCACATTTCACCCTCATGTACCACTATCCATCCTCATGTACCACTATCCACTAAGTGTATCGCAATACAAGCATCAATTTTTATAACGCGATTCCCAATCTCAAACCACCATCAACCCTCATGTACCACAGTCTACCTTAATGTATCGCAATACTACCATTAATCTTTATAGCGCGTTACCCAATCCTATACCAACATCCACCTGAATGTACTGTATAATATGGTAACAAGATATCCATTCGTCCACTCAACTCCTATGTTTCCGATGAAATGGAAAAAAACTACCGAGATTAAACAAAGATCTACCCATATGCGCGCATATCAGGCGGCAAGTTACCCCAATCCGCCCCTACGTACCGCCCAAGCATATCACCGTCACAAGTTTCAACCAGCCACCCCTATTGACTCTCATGCATAAAACCGCCACAAGTTACAATAATCCACCCCTATTGACTCTCATGCATAAAACCGCCACAAGTTTCAACCAGCCACCCCTATTGACTCTCATGCATAAAACCGCCACAAGTTACAATAATCCACCCCTATTGACTCTCATGCATAAAACCGCCACAAGTTACAATAATCCACCCCTATTGACTCTCATGCATAAAACCACCACAAGTTACAACCAGCCACCCCTATTGACTCTCATGCACAATACCGCCACAAGTTACAATAATCCACCCCTATCGCCTCCCATGTATGACACCGTCACAAGTTACAACAATCTACCCCTATTGACTCCCGTGTATAGCACCGCAACAAGTTACAATAATCCACACCTATTGCCTCCCACGTATAATACCGTCACAAGTTACAACAATCCACCCCTATTGACGCCAATGCATAACACCGTCACAAGCTACAACAATCCACCCCTATTGACGCCAAAACATTACACCGTCACAAGTCCTCCGATTTTGTACCGCCGACCCCTATCCGACCCTACAACCCCCCAATAGTCTTATACATGTAACCTCGGCAATGACAACGACCATGGTTACAAGTTTGAAGTAAAACATATCTTTATACAGCTATAACTTTGCTGGGTGTGCCGCAAAGCAACACTCAACTCACACAGCCAGTTACATGTACTTCGATCACAAAAATCAATCCAGATTGAGGGGACACTATTATGGCCGGTACTGAGGGTGGTGGTGAACTCTCACCGCACCGCATCTCCACTTACAGCGCTAGGCAGATCCAAAATGTTGTTTCACTTGTTGCCGTGGAAACGGACTCAATAGATCCTGAATTCTTAACGCCGAACCATTGTTATTTCACGGTCCTTAATCCTCCCTCTGTTGCAGACAAAACCTCCGTGGGACGTGTTGCCTCAGGGAGAAATGTTCAACAAATGTATGTCTTGGCTGTTTGTACGCTTCCCCCAGAAGATATCTCAAGACAGCTGACGTTTATAAAGACTTTCTATCAGACCAATTCAATGAGTCATCTTCCATTATTGTTTTTTTTCATTATGTCGCGATCCGTTTTAGATAATAGATGCTTAAAAACATAGCTATGTAAATAATTTATATTCATAAATAGTGTCGCAAAGTTTTATATGAAAAAATTATAATTGGGGACTATAACATCCACTTTGCGATTATACGGGTAGATGGAAAATTGATGGGCGGGTAGTCAATTATTTATTAAGGATAGTCGACTACCAATGGCAACAAATGACATGAGACATGACAACAAAAAAGAAAATATGTCATCAGTTATGACGTCATTAGTTCTCGCTTCTATAAAAAACTATTTGTTTGGTAAAAGCCAAAAACGTTTCACTTCATATCGTCACTTCAATCGATTAATTGACCCGCAAGTCCGCTGCTATTCGTAACACCAAAAACCTAGTTGTCTTAGATACTGTGTTTTGAACATGTCTTTCTTGAACTGTTCCAAAGACGGACAAATTGATCCATTTCTTGCCAAAGCATAAAATTCCAATTCCGGTTGTGGCAGGAATTGCGATCCAAGTTTTGTAATGATCCTGGACTGGTTCTACCATATGGTGCCGGCGTCGATGTTTTTAAATTCTTTCATCGATTTTGCTTGTTCCTCAGGTTACGCGGATTGTATAACTACCTAGACATTGATGCCGAGTGACATTACACGGTGTGGTTTAATGTACCTCGAGAGAAGGGTTTAAACGACTATTAAAACCTAACTCGTAACAGGTTCTGGTTACTAGGTCACATTCGTATCATATACCAGTCCAGATTTTGAATACCCCATGTATATGAACAACCCGACACCGATAAACATGTTTAATTTCCGGCCACTATTCGAAATGTTCTAGGTCTTTGCCTTCCGGCGTTTCCGGAAAGAATAGATGAGAACGCGAAGGATTGAATACATAGACATTTGCCGCGGGAATATTCCCAGCAACACCGGTAAAAATATGTTCCCTAGCCTTTTAGGACCGAATATTTCATCATCCTAGGTTTTTTATGGAAAATATGCAAAGACGATTAATATAAGGAATCAACTCGTTTCAAATTCAATAGTACAATAAAGCTAATGTTCGTTTGTTTGTTTGTTTGTTTCATTGTTTTTAAACTCCGCACTCTGCCATTACAGCTATATGACGGCGGTCTGTAAAGAATTGTGTCTGGGCCATACAATCCAGTGATTGACATCATGAGCATCGATCCACGCAACTGGGATACGATAACATGCATCAACCAAGTCAGCGAGCCAGACCACCGGATCCCGTTAGTCGCCTTTTACGACAAACATGGCAGCTGAAGACCTATTCTACCCCGGATCTTCACGGGTTTTAATGAAGTTTATGAGCCAAAACACTATAACATCATGTACTGCAAATGAGGACATCGATGTCTTTTAAAAGCCTCTCTTCGAGCTAACAGTCTAATAAATCTAAATTATCCATTCAATAACATCACGTTCCATGTGTTTCGAACCATCCTCTAGGGTGAATCAATCAAAATTGATTTCTTAACTTATATGGGCAGAAAACGAAAATGTATCTCGTTTACGAGCCTAGGAGGTAAATCACGAGGCTTAAATACGTGCATTTCCGTCCAGCCTCCTTTGACCTGCAGAGTTTTGGTTTGTTGTTTAACGCCGCACTCAGCAATATTCAAGCTATATGACGGCGGTCTGTAAATAATCGTGTCTGGACCAGACAATCCAGTGATTAATATCATTAGCATCGATCCACGCAATTGGGATCGATGACATGCATCAACCAAGTCAGCGAGCCTGACCACCCGATCCCGTTAGTCGCCTTTTACGACAAGCATAGTCACCTTTTACGGCAAGAATGGGTTGCTGAAGACCTATTCTACCCCGGAATCTTCACGGGTCACCTGCAGACAGTATTTGTATGGGTACACGACATTCGTGTCTGTGTCAACGTGAGATAGGATAAAATGTTACGGTGTGTTTTACTAAGGTTTACGTAAGAGGCAACTATCACTGCGTGTCAGTTTAAAGTGGGAGGAAAGCCCGAAGTGATGCAGGTCTACCATCCGTGGTACAGATCTAGAAACATAATCGAGGCGAACCGGATTCGACCCCAACTTCATATCAAGATCCGGGTTGAAATAGGTCTTCAGCAACCCATGCGTGCCATAAAAGGCGACCATGCCTGTCGTAAGAGGCGACTAACGGGATCGGGTGGTCAGGATCATTGAGTTGGTTGATGAATGCCATGGATCCCAATTGCGTGGACGATGCTCATGATGACACGTGTCGATTCCCAGATTGTACGTGAAAGAATTTAGTGTGGAACTATCAAACAACTAACACATAGTATAAAATCAACAATTGTATCACACAATTAACTAGGTTTACAAATCAGTACAAATCACTGCACAGCCATTACAATGGCTGTTTGCAATAGAGTAACAGTCCAATATTTAATGGCGGTATAAAATGTGAAAGCAGTGGAAATGACAATGACAAGAATAATAATCACCTCGCCGTGGTCAATAGTGGTCAAGCTTCCGAAATAGGCCTCGGCGCTGGGATTCCGGGTGATAAGTGATCTTCACACGAAAGCTGGTCTTGATGTAATGTCAGATAAAATGTGAGATGGAATGTGAGATGAGACAGGCACGCACCCGTTCCACGAATAATCTAACTAGCTTACAACACTTACAACCAGACCAGCTCAGTGTCACTAGAACATCACAGAATATTCCAAATGTTTCTATAACGCTTGACATCCATCCATGATATTCCGAAACTTTACAGATATTTCGAGCATCTAAATATAATAACTTCCTCACTACTGCTTACATTAAATAGTACTACATTCCTGACAACAAACCATTGTCCGAATACAATCCATGAACCTCTACCGAATCTCATCATTGTCCAACAATAGATCACACTCTCATACAACAATGTCAATCACTGGGTTGTCCGGTCCAGACTCAATTATTTACAGACCGCCGTCATATAGCTGAAATATTGTTGAGTGCTGCATTAAACAAACAAACAAACAAACAAACTGCATACACAACTTATTCCACACATGGGAAAACTTCGAAAATTGTCTCGATGAACTTATGTGACTAATATACCAAAAAAATCGTTTCATATAAAGAAATATTGTTTTGTCATGTGCCCTGTGCCATTTAATGACGAGTGACCGGGCGAGGCTAGCGCTTTGAATCAACTCGAATAGGTTAAAAGTCAGGCTATGATTCGCATGTATATGCAGCAATCACGCAACACAACCGTCGACAGTGAGGACGTGGGGATGGGAATGATGGCGACTTGGAGATGGCGCTACAACATGGCAGGCAAACGCTTAGTCTCTGAAAATATATAATTTTGATAGAAACAAAAAATTCATTCAATTTGAAAAGGAGCCACTGTGATAGATTCTGAACCTGGGGACAATCTAGACTTGCTTCAGTTAGGGCTTTTGCATCACAGAAAGGGCTTGTGGGAAAATACAGACTAAAACATGGGCAGAAATGGAGGCGCAGGTACGTGTGGGATTACTAAAGTGAGAAGTGAGTGAGTGAGTTGGGTTTAATGCCACCTTTAACAATAATCCAGTTATATCACGGCGTAAGTAAGGATAAGAATTTATGGATGAACAACTTCGTTATTGCAATAAAGAGCGACGTTTCGGTGTAGGTTCTAACACCGTTATCAAGCAAGTGATACGTCGCTCTTATTTGTAATAAAGAAGTTGTTCATCCATAAATTCTTATCCTTACTTAGTACTCCAACTTCTATCAAAGAAGATATCGCGGCGTGTCAGCTTAATATGGGAGGAAAGCCCGAAGTGATGCAGGTCTCAGACATTTACCACTTCGGTGAAACCCACGAGCACGGGTATTGTGCTGACAAACTTAGAAACATAATTGTGGCGAACCGGGATTTGACCCCACAATCATAAGTTTCTGGCTTGCCCAAGGGACGCAACTCTGGACAGCGAATCGCGGCGACTTAGACGACTGGGCCACCCGTGCCCCCTTAAAGTGAGAAGACATGTAGCGAATAGCAATCGTGTCTTTGCTGGAATAAGGTACATGGTCAGTGTTGAAGGACACGCTAAACAGAAAAGATGGTGGTGCTCTCACAGCATAAAGGTATGAGAAAGGCACATCAAGTTGGGCGTTCCATGCAACTGTTCATGGAAAGCGCACACGCACAAGTACACGCGAACGCACACACGCACGGTAACCTCTTCCCACATCTTCCTATTTGATGAGTACAGGAAGGGGTGGGTCAGTGGTTAAACTAGCCCGTCCCGCCGAAATACTAAGGCTCGATTCTGTCATTGGTACAGTGGTACAAGCCCATCCTCAATATCAGATGCAGTGATGGTAGACGCATCATTAATAGCAGAGTTAAACTCACTCGCTCACTCACTCACTCACTCACTCACTCACTCACTCACTCACTCGACTAGTTTTCGACTGGAACATTTGAGACAATCGTACGCACTAAACCTGGTCACACATTTAGAACACCCGATCACCCTCCACCCCTCCACCCCTCCACCCCTCCACCCACCTCTCCCCTCCCCCAAACACACGACTTCATCAGACGTGTGTTCACTGTCACACCCGATCTCCACCCACCCATCCACCCTCCACCCACCTCTCCCCTCCCCCAAACACACGACTTCATCAGACGTGTGTTCACTGTCTCAGCCGATCTCCACCCAACCCTCCACCCCCCACCTACCTCCCCCAAACACACTACTTCATCAGACGGGTGTTCCCTGTCTCAGCCGATCTCCACCCACCCATCCACCCCCAACCCACCTCTCCCCTCCCCCAAACACACTACTTCATCAGACGGGTGTTCCCTGTCTCAGCCGATCTCCACCCACCCCTCCACCCCCCACCCACCTCTCCCCTCCCCCAAACACACTACTTCATCAGACGGGTGTTCACTGTCTCAGCCGATCTCCACCAACCCCTCCACCCCCCACCCACCTCTCCCCTCCCCCAAACACACTACTTCATCAGACGGGTGTTCCCTGTCTCAGCCGATCTCCACCAACCCCTCCACCCCCCACCCACCTCTCCCCTCCCCCAAACACACTACTTCATCAGACGGGTGTTCCCTGTCTCAGCCGATCTCCACCCACCCCTCCACCCCCCACCCACCTCTCCCCTCCCCCAAACACACGACTTCATCAGACGGGTGTTCCCTGTCTCATCCGATCTCCACCCACCCATCCACCCCCCCACCCACCTCTCCCCTCCCCCAAACACACTACTTCATCAGACGGGTGTTCACTGTCTCACCCGATCTCCACCAACCCCTCCACCCCCCACCCACCTCTCCCCTCCCCCAAACACACGATGTCATCAGACGGGTGTTGCCTGTTTCTGCCGATCTCCCTCCACCCCTCCACCCACCCACCCCCTCCCCCAAACACACTACTTCATCAGACGGGTGTTCACTGTCTCACCCGATCTCCACCAACCCCTGCACCCATCCACCCACCTCTCCCCTCCCCCAAACACACGACGTCATCAGACGGGTGTTGCCTGTTTCTCCCGATCTCCCTCCACCCCTCCACCCACCTCTCCCCTCCCCCAAAAACACTACTTCATCAGGCGGGTGTTCACTGTCTCAGACGCTTACCTCAACACTCCACCTCACCATTAATATTTAACTGCAAGTCGGAACACCAGACATATCCCGCCTGCAACGTGATAAAACGAGACTCTGGGTGACAATGCATATCATCTGCATGGATGTGGCGGCGTGTTCATTCAGGGCGATTCTGTCACGGTCATCCGAAATATCCGAGACCTGCGGCATTGACACGTTCGATTAGATTAACCTGTCTGACACCGTCATGCTCGTGTTAAATTATAACGCAACAGTTCTACATGAACGTCCAATGCTGTCGAATATTGGGAATGGGAGGGGCGATTATAACACATATGATTTAAACAATAGTTTATTTCATATTAATGATTGATAAACACACAGCTGGATGTTTATTTGAACACATGAGGACAAAATAAATTCCAGAGATGAAACACATTCATCTAACTGAACTGTCATAGATCCATTAAACGTTTGTTTGTTTCTTTCTTTTGTTGTTTTACGCCGCACTCAGCAATATTCCATCTATATGACGGCGGTCTGTAAATAATCGAGTCTGGACTAGACAATCCAGTGATTGATATCATGAGCATTATTTTGAGGAACACAACATTTCGGAATATATACTTACTTCTTCATCAGGTGTATCATCCGAAACGTTGTGTTCCTCATCATCTGATGGAGGAGTAAGTATACACTCCGAGACGTTGTGTTCCCCATCGACTGATGAAGTAAGTATACACACCGAGACGTTGTGTTCCTCATCACCTGATGAAGGAGTAAGTATATACTCCGAGACGTTATGTTGCTCATCACCTGATGGAGGAGTAAGAATATACTCCGAGACGTCGTGTTCCTCATCACCTGATGGAGGAGTAAGTATATACTCCAAAACGTTGTGTTCCTCATCACCTGATGAAGGAGTAAGTATACACTCCGAGACGTTGTGTTCCTCATCTCCTGATGAAGGAGTAAGTATACACTCCGAGACGTCGTGTTCCTCATCTCCTGATGAAGGAGTAAGTATATACTCCAAAACGTTGTGTTCCTCATCACCTGATGAAGGAGTAAGTATACACTCCGCGACGTTGTGTTCCTCATCACCTGATGAAGGAGTAAGTATATACTCCGAGACGTTGTGTTCCTCATCACCTGATGAAGGAGTAAGTATACACTCCGCGACGTTGTGTTCCTATTAATAAAGAAGTTGACATGCATACATTCTCTTCATTATATATATCACTTCTAAATGCCTTTCAATGACTATATACATGTATTTTGAGACTAGATACTCTTTTTAGCAAATTTAGTATCGTGGTTTTATTCACGTATATCTGGGGACAATTTAATTTTTAATGGACGCCATCACGGAGTGATATCACGTTTCATTACATCGAAATTATTTCCCATCAGTTTCAATTTCTCAATCGCCTCATTCATACCAAATCATGTTGCTCGTCTGATCTCGAAAACAATTCTTTTAAAATTCTATATCGTAGATTGACAGGGGTAGTTTAGTATTCTGGCACTTCTGACGTTGACATGTTCCGCTAATCGAAGCGGGCGACACTGAGCCAGTGGTCCTGAGGTGAAGTGCTTTCATCAATATTGCATAAACGGATGCGCAGGCCTCGCGAGTAAATACGACCCGACGATCAATACAGTCTCCCAGTGCCATGGTGGCCGACCAAGAATACTTCGATATGCTATGAGCGACAAGCTCATTCTCCAGGCGGTGGGGCGACCTGACGGACGGAAGGACCAAGATAGAAATGTGTTTTGTCGTAACAGGCTCCATTACATTGCCATTGCTCGTAGGCCTCTGCATGGAGCTTGTGTTGTCCCGGTTGCTGTTACCGGGGGAAGAGAGACCGGATGTGACCTGTAAACCGATTTAATGGAACGGTCCAAAAATTGTCCCACCGTCCTTGATTTGTAATGGGACGGAAGCGTGTAAGTGAGCATTCGGATGGCATCGCGCATAATGCTACACGCTAGTGTATAACTGTTAGCGGGAGTACGGTTTATGATGGACTGTAGATGTATCGACTTAGAGTCCTGCGTGTTGAAACTTATACCATGAGTGCGTAGACCTGATTGAATCGTGGCGTGTTGCTTCTCGATGATGTCATGCTTATTTGTACGGGAGTCGCTCCACGAATTGGGTACGGAGGCTGAATGCATGGATTTGATCTAATGGCTGACTCATCCTTGGCGACTGGTTTATTGAATAGTGATGTGGTGTTTTACTCGACCGTTGAGTTATAAAACATGGCCGCATGATATGTTCTGACACACAAGACTGGCAATCTGTGGCTTCTAACATGGGCGTGTTGAATCGCCTGCAGTAGGAGCATGGTTCAACAAATGGAGGCTGACGAATTGGCTGTTGTGGTCGTGACAAGAGAGAATCTACTGCATAGAACTCCATAGATTGTGGTCACACTGGTGGATCTCCTCCCTTTTTCTTCAGTAACATTACATGCTAACCACGCCACGAGCCAAGTCAATTCTTGACCTGGATCACACACACACACACACACACACACACACACACACACACACACACACACACACACGCACGCACGCACGCACGCACGCACACACACACACACACACAGACAGACAGACAGACAGACACACACACACACACTCACTCACTCACTCATACACACACACACACACACACTCTCTCTCTCTCACTCACACTCACTCACATACACCCAGGCACACACAGACACACACACACAGACACCCCCACACACAGACTCACAAGCACACACAGACACACAGTCAGACAGACACACAGACACCCTCACACACGGACTCACAGGTACACACAGACACAGCCAGTCAGGCAGACACACAAACAGAGGCAGACACACACAGTGAGGCAGACATACACATACAGTCAGGCAGACACACACACAGTCAGGCAGACACACACACAGGCACACACAGACACACACAGTCAGGCAGACACACAAACAGAGGCAGACACACACAGTGAGGCAGACATACACATACAGTCAGGCAGACACACACACAGTCAGGCAGACACACTCACAGTCAGGCAGACACACACAAGCACACACACACACAGTCAGGCAGACACAAAAACAGAGGCAGACACACAAACAGGCAGACACACACACAGATTCACCTGCACACACAGACACACACAGTCAGGCAGACACACAAACAGAGGCAGACACACACACAGACACACACTCACACACACACAGTCAGGCAGACACACACACAGAGGCAGCCATACAGACACACACTCACACGCATACACACACCCACACAGACACACAGACACATACATATACACAAATACACACACATACACACACTCACAGAAGACACACTCACACATACATGTACACAAATACACACTCACACAGACACACTCACACACATACACACACTCACACAGACACACTCACACAGATACACACACTCACACAGACACACTCACACATACATGTACACAAATACACACACTCACACACACACACACACACACACACACACACACACACACACACACACTCATATACTTTTTCAACATCGTGTATCACTTCAGGGTCTCACATGATGGGTGGCCTTTGGCAATCTCAGTTTTAAAAAAAATACTCTGGAAAGGGGCGACAACTCTGCATGGTTGACCTCTCAGCCCGAGAGAGTTACAGCTGACACCAGCCACGTTTTAATAGTTAAGGGAATTTAAAATAACGTTGATCTATTCATTTTCCTCCACTTAAAAGAAAATTATCTACGATCAGAGCCTTTGGAAAGAACCATGCTATACAGATTAATGGCAAATCAAAGATGATTTTATGAGACTATTATACAGTAAGCCTTCTGTGTAAAATAAAAGCTAAATAAAAGGTGTCCCCAAATCAATTCTCTGCCTTAAGATCATCACATAAAAGTGTGTTTCTCCGAGGAAAATCACGTGCCTCAAAGACAAATATGTCCGAGTTCGTCGTAGTGGGGGTTGAACAGCGTGGTGACATCGCGAATAGTAAAGTGATAAGGATGTCGCCAAGTACGACGAATAGAGGCGTATAAATACAAGATAAGAACACTTGGTGTCTTATACCCATGGACCGCATAAGACTGGCCCTTATTAAAACAGTGGGGATTTCGCGTGAGAGTGTGGGTTCCCAGACAGTACCGTAGGGCGCAGATAATTGACACTTCAAACCATACCATACCAAGGGTCATCCTCGGGGCAAACCGACGGATCCTGGCACTCCAAGGGGAGGCAACTCCTCACAACGACTTGATCCAGCTGTGTCCAACTGAGCTGCTTGGCTAAAGACTTTATACACCCGTGTTTGATGACTAACATGAAACAAACAAGAAACGACTATTTGATGACTGATGTATTTGGTACGGGTACCAGTTGTGTTTTGGGACTTAAGTTTGCAGTGTTTCAGCAACTTTTTTCAGCCAACGTGTATAATGTTTGGGTCAAATCCAATTTTCAAATGTATACTTTCAGTTTATAACTCTAGATAAGCAGGAGCGAGGTCACAATGTCTTGCCAACTTATGTCAAAGTGAAGCTGTTTCCCACAGATGATCAATCAGCTGTAGTGAGTCAATGCGCCAGTCAATGCATCGGGCGGAACATAATGGATCAATCTTATCATGCAGCATGTTAAACATTAAAGGTCAGATATGAATCATACGATGAAACTCCGGCTTTCTTGGTAGATAATGAATTATGTATCCTGCAGATAATGTAATGTCTTCTACATTTCTCGTTTTAGAAGAATAATCGCCATTCATCACGTCAACGCGTTGTCTCAATAGAAACAGGAACCACCGAACACTGAAGCTGTCTGTTAACTTTGGAACATGTCTCCTCCCGTGGGTTGTATGAACTTGTGAGAACTGGTGATGTGACAGTGGGCAGACTCACACATCTGACTCACATAGACACTGTGTGGAGACTGGTTGACAGACTGACACATATGACTCACATAGACACTGTGTGGAGACTGGTTGACACACTGAAACATATGTCTCCCATATATACTGTGGTGAGGCTAGTTGACACACTGACACATCTGACTCACATAGAGAATGTGTGGAGACTGGTTGAC